ACTGTGGCAGTTCTCTAGCATTGCATCATTGCTTAAGTTCCTTTGCGCAGGTTCCAGCTGCTCCCATTCCTTCTGAGTAAAAGCCACAGACACATCTTTGAATGTTATTGATTCCTACTATACTCCTATTCAGTCTAGTACTTCTTAATTCTCCACATTCATGAGTGATTTCCCCCCCCCACCCCCCCCCCCACCCCCACCCCCCCCACCCCCACCACCACCCCCACCATCACCACCATCACCACCATCACCACCACCTCCACCACAATGTATGTTTGAAGTTTTATAATGGACCTTTTATTTTTTTAAGTTCTTTTATGTGAACTTTGTAATTGTCCTACCTGCTCTCTGGGGCATGTGTAGTATTATCACTGCCCCTATTAAATAAAGGAGAATAATTAATTTGCTATGATAGCATAACTAATCAGTGGCAAAGCTAATTTTTGGGCTCCCATAGTCTGTTACCAATATCTATACTTTTAATAGCTGTGCTTTACTGCTATATATTTTTACTAGTTCAGTGTGCTAGTTAGTTAGCTTTCTGTAAGCTAGCTACTTTATGTATAATTTCTGTTACCAAAATATAACCTGAAGTGGGGAATTATTTACTTTGGTTCTCAGTTTCAAGACATTTTAGTTTACAGTCCTTTGACTGTGGAATCTGGGCCTGTAGCAATGCAGGATATCATAGTGGTGGGAATATATGGTAAAAGCTGCTTACCTCATGGCTTGACAGGAATGGGGCGGGGGTGGGGAGTGGGGGGGGACTCGGTATAACTTCCAGAGGGACATTTTTAGGGGTCCACTTCCCTCTGACTAGGCTTCACCTCCTGTAGTTTCTGTATCCTCTGCTGTCTTAGGGTTTCTATTGCTGTGATAAAACACCACATCCAAGAGCAGTTTGGGGAGTATATCAATCTAGATTCTCTAGAGGAACAGAACTTATAGAATGAAAGGGGATTTAATAGAATGGTTTATAGTCTGTGGTCCAGCTAACTCAATTATGGCTGCCTATGAACAGAAGTTACAAGAATCCAGTAATAGTTTAGTAACAAGGCTAGATGTCTCAGCTGGTCTTCAGTATATAAGAGAATCCCAAAGAAGTAGACTATAATGCCAGTGAAGGAATGGACTTGTTAGCAAGAGCGAGAGCAAGCAGGCAGAGAGAGAGACAGAGAGAGATGTTTCCTTCTTCCATGTCCTTTATACAGCCTTTATACAGGCTGCCAACAGAAGATGTGGTCTAGATTAAAGGTGGATCTTCCCACTAAAAAAGATCTGGATTAAAGCTTTATCTTCCCACCTGAAACCCAAATTAGAAATGAACCTTCCCCTTCAGAATATTTATTTAAGAAAAACAAATGAAAAGAACAAATCCCTCACAGGTGTGCCTAGTCATTTGGGTTTTAGTTAATTCCCTATGTAGTTAACAACCAAGAGTAGCCATCACAGGAAGGAAAGGGTTTATTTCACCTTACACTTCCAGGTAACATTCCTTCGTCAGGAAGTCAGGGCAGAGACTGAAAGCAGGAACCTGGAGGCAGGAGCTGATGCAGAGGCCATGGAGAGATGCTGTTTACTGGCTTGCTCCCCATGGCTTGCTTGGTCTGCTTTCTTATGGCACCAGTACCACCAGCCCGGGGCGGCACCTGGGGAGCTGGACCCTCCCATGTCAGTCATTAGGAAAATGCACTACACACTTGCCTAGAGGCCAACCTCAGGGAGGCAGGCATTCCCCCTGTTGAGAGTCTTTCTTCCCAAGTGACTCTTGTGTCAAATTGGCATAAAATTGTCTAGCATGTCCCTTAATAGTGCCATCAGCCTGCCAAAATGCATCATTTTGTAAAATATTTTTTGAATGACCAAAAGTGTATATGCTCTATAAGCTAGCTACTTAAGTATTTCTATGAATGTAATCTATTTGGACGAGAAACTAAATTTGAGAATAGGTAGTGGTACTATAATGATGTTCTGGGCTTTGTTTTGATCATTGAGGTTTAAACATTTCTTTTGGTAAAAAGGCTTCCTGGGTCTCATTTTTAATCATGTATTTTTAAAGTGTTTCTGTGTTGAAAAAAAATAGTGCGTGCCCAGTGAAGACTTTATTGTGTTTATTTAGTATAGTCATAGTCCCAGAAAAAATGAAGTGATGTTGAAGCTGAAGCCATAAGTTAAATAGTTTGAAAATTATTAGCAACTTATTACTAGTGTGTTTTTCTCTGAGATATTTTAATTTCTTTAGGATGTTTTACTTTTGTTGGACTTCTGATTTCCTGTTTCAGGTTTTTGTCAGAAATAGACTTGCTGAAATTTTTCCTCTGGCCTGTAGAGGTGCATCAGTTGGCAAGTGCTTGCCTAGCAATATGGAAGCCCTGGGTGTCATCCCAGCACTCCATACTCTGAGGATAGGAAAGGAAACCGTAGTCTTCTCAAGCACAACAGTGAGTTTGAGACCAGACTGGGATATATGAAATTCTGTCAACAGGGGAAGATGAAAGGAGAAAGGGAAAGAAATATATGCTAATTAAAAAAAACCTACAGAAAATGGGAAAAGACATGGTGGTGCACACCTTTAATCTTAGCACCCAGTGGCAGAGGCAAGGGTCTCTGTGAGTTCTACATGTGAGTTCCAGGCCAGCCAGAGTTACATAGTGAAATTGTGTCTCAAAAAACAAATAGAAAAGTGAAATTTACTATTTTTCTATTGTAGTTTTTTGATTTTTTTACTTTGTGTTTTTCCCACCTTCAGTTTTTCATATATATATGGCTCAAGCTTCATTGTCGTGCTTCCCCACTGAGCCATTTCCACAGGCTAGTCTAATTCTTAAATGAATAATTTTATTTTCTCTTTAATATTTTAAAACTATTAAATTTCCCTTTCAAAGCTAAATAAAATTTTGTTTATGTGATATTGAGCTTATGGTTAATTTTTTTGTTGTTGTTGCTTTATTTTTCTATTATCATTACTACAATGAACAGGAGCCCAACACATTTTGTCTGGAAGAGGGGAAAAGATTCTCAAAACCTATGATAAAGGAGGTTTTCATCAGGAAGGCTGAATAAAGCAAGACTCCAAAATTATGAAATTATGTAATAGACACATTCACTAAATTAAACTGTGCTGCATGTACTTCCTTCTTCCTATAACAGTCAAAATGTAAGTGCCAACTTCTCTGAGTGTGTAAGGACTTGGAGGTGAGATGCAACCCAGAACTGTAGCCCAGGAAGGTCTGGAACTTGCTGTGTAGCCCCAGCTGGCCTCCTTCCTAAGGCAGTCCTGCTCCAGCCTCCATAGTGCAAGGGTTAAAGCATAGCCGCCACATCTGGCTTGGATGACGCGATTTATAAGGAAACTTAGGTTACAAAAGACAAAGAGTAAAGAACTTCAGGGTTATTTACAGCAGCTTCTTGACTAACCCAGAAAAGAAAGAGGTAGGGAGGTTCTTTAAATTCCAAGTATGCAAGTCATAGAAAAGAGACATTTTATAGCATTTTGGACAAGTCTTTGTTTTCAGTGACACAGGAAGATCCTCATTCAGACAGAAATCATAGTCAAAGGACAGAATTTGTGAGAGAATGAGCATACTGTTAGTTACCTATTTGGGTACACGTAAAAGAAAACTCTAGCTTGGTAAGGAAATGCTACACACTATGTGACTTAACAAGAAGGTGAGGTGGCTTTCCTGGTTGGTTGATTCAGTGATCTAGTTTCTTTATATTTCTCTGCTCTGTCATTACTATAGAATTGACTCTTTCCCTATCTCTACAAATGGAATTTAGAAGTTGTATACATCATATATTGCATATGTATCTGAAAATGTGCCCAGAAGATAAAAGTATCTTCTTTTCTTGGCTGTATATCTGTTCAGAAGCAATGAAACATTGCTTACAAGTCCTTTAGAAGATTTCTCGTGCTTTGTTACCCAGAATTTGATTCTATACATCATTGGTAAACTTGTGACAGTCTTGTGGGTATGGGGTCTAATAATCATTTGGAGCAGAGTAGCTGTGTGAGAAGTACAGTCTCCATATAATTGTGGTAACTAGTGTAATAACTCCTTCCTCCAAAAAGTAGATGAAAAGTTTACTGAGGAAGGATTCAGAAAAAAAGCAAAGTGAAATTCCAGTGTCCGCTGCACTGCTTAACATATGTGTGAGTTTGATGAAGTTCCTTAATTCTGTAAATATGGACTTCTCTATCTTAGAAGAGGAGATGCAAATCCTTCTTAGGGTTGTTTTAGAATTAAATGAACTAAGACAAAACAGATTTTAACATTTGGCAGCATCAGTAAATACAGTTCTGTTGCTTCTGGCGGTACTTTTATCTGTCACTTTGTACCCAAAGAAAACTGGAATTTGCATTTTAAAGGATTTTCTCTTTCTCTGAGTTTGTACTATAAAGTGCCTACACCAAAGCTGTTGGCATTCATATTTCCTTATGGAGGGTTTTTTTTTTTTTTTTGGTAATCTTGTAACAAAATCTCTGGACTCTTCAAGGGGAAGATATTGGAATACAATAATCTATTCATTATAAGGGGTAAGGATTTTAAAAGTAGTAAATAAAGAATTGTAGTGGGAAATCACCAGAAAGCAAATGTTCTTTCTGGCTTTGAATATTCTTTCTTTTCCTGTTTGTGTTTATATTGATGCCAAAAATGATTTTTAAGGTGTATATGGCCATGCTTCGGATTACTTATTACCTATTTTCTGCTGCTTCTAGTTTCCAGCCTTAAATTGTCATCTTGACTTTTCCCCTCTCAGTGTTTTCCTTCTTTCAGGGTCCTTGTTGAGGTCACATACTTATTCATGAGTACAGTGGTAAATTTATAGCCACTAATGTAGTTAATAATCATGGAAACAAGTTTAATATGGGCCGCTGCTAATGCAATTTGTTTCTATTGTTGTTTCAACTAATCATTTACTATGTATTTATATTTGGGTAGCATCCTGGGAGATTGAAGAGCCAGCTGAGCTGTAATTCTTATTTTTGATACTTGCAGATGGCTTGTTCAATCAGTATATCAGTCAGCAGGAGTATAAGCCGAGGTGGAGTCAGATCATTCCTAAGAGCACCAAAGGTGAGCTGCACTGTCCGCTCTGTTCTCTGTTATCTTTACAGTCTGTTTTCCTTGGATGCCCCAAACATCTGTTCATAACGAGCAGCTGTTTCATGTAGAGCATAGGTTCCTTAGCCAGGTGGCATAGTGGCTTGTCATACATCATTTTTTTTCTCCTTGTACATACTAGGTAAACACTCTTACCAGTGAGCTATAGTCCCAGCCTTAGCTTATTGTATTAAAATTATCTTTTAAATTCTTGTTTCATCACTATGACCAAATGTGGACCGAGATTGTTTGTTCTTCACGAAGAATGCTGTTACAAACTACTTTCATAGAGGTGTGTAAAATGATGGGTATGCTGTGGTGCCACCATGGGTGTTCCTGGGAATCTAAGTTCAACAAAATGGATCACTAAGCATAGCAGGACCTTTGAGAATAAGAGGGACAGATGATGAACTTTATACACAGGTACTAATAAAAGTTGACATAGTAATTCTATTTAAATCACAGTGCAATTGAAGCTTAAAGGCACTCAATTTGAGTATCCAAGTACCTTAGTGGCCACATCTCATGCATCCTTCTTGGAGACACAGATCCTAGGGAGCATTTATTTCTAATTGGGACTGCTTTGTTTGTTCAAAACTCAAAATGTGACTCCGAATTTAGTCGTCTTCATTAACCCATTATTTTTGTGTGAGCAAATGTTTGTCACTTTATTGTATGCATTCACTCTTGCCAGATTGGAGCAATGTTTTACTGCACATGTTTCCATTGAAGAAAGATGGCTCTCGAGGTATTCAGTTGTTCCTTGTGGTCTTCCTATGTTTCCAAGGCTTTCTCTCCACTCGTGAGACAGTTTTCATAGCATTGCTCATTAATATGTGCTGAAAATTCCTCCTGACTTATATAAGCTCTGCTATGTGAACATACTCCTACTTTCATAGTTCTGTGTATGGTGATCTATTCAAAGACAGTGCATTTGCAAACAAACAGATTAAATACACAAAACAAATGGTACAAATTAATATTTTAGTGTTTGATAATTTTGAAAATAGCAATACAGACTGGCAGGAGAGAATAAAAGGGCAAGCCCTTAGTGACAGTGATCTGCAAGACCTAAAGGGCGCCTAGCTAGGAGAGAGGAAAAGGAATCGTTCAGTACCGTGATTTGGCTTCATGTCCTATTTCTGTGTATAATCATGTGTTTCATAAAGACATTTTGGTCAATAACAGTAATCCCATGAGTTTTTAATTGAGCTGAAACTTCCTATCTAGTGTTAGTACTGAACCTTTTTCTGTGATTAGCTGTTCTGAAAGATACAGACATTGTAGTTGGCTGAAGTATTTAGTGGTAACGTGTTTTGCCATATGAGTAGGCGTGCAATGGATACTTTCTGACGTTTACACAAGGACAGAATTGCCTAATGGTGCATTTCTCAGAAAGTATTCCTCATCAGTAACTCATAGCTGTATAAAAACTGACATTTCCCTGTGAAACTCTGGTGTACAGAGTTAGATGATGTCACTTTTACATATGAAGATTAGGGAAGTTCATTTGCCAGATAATATATTTCAACTAATAGGAGATATATGATGTAAACCTTAGGCTTTCTGGTTTATATTGAATGTGATATTAGAATCCTGTAATCATCACTGAGAATAGAACTCAGTGATGAATAGTTGCTTGTCATCTGTGGGAACCTGCGTGCACACCCCTACACACATACCATTTCCTAGAATCCTGTAACCTTTTGAATAGTTGAAACAAAGATATTTCTTCCTTTATTCTGCCTTTCACTATTTATAATATTTTGATGGAATACATGTGGAGTGTCACTACCCTTTATAGACTTACAAATGAGGTTACTCCTCTGGAATTGCAAGTTTTATTATTTCATTATAGAAAATACTTTTTTTTTTCTTCAGGTGATGGAGAAGATAACCGACCAGGAATGAGAGGGGGCCATCAGATGGTTATTGATGTTCAGACAGGTGAGTCACACTAGCAGTGTTCCAGCAGAATTCATCCCCCCACCCCCACCCCCAGGGTTTCTCTGTGGCTTTGGAGGCTGTTCTGAAACTCACTCTGTAGACCAGGCTGGTCTCAAACTCACAGAGATCACTCTGCCTCCTGAGTGCTAGGTTAAAGGCATGTACTGCCACCATCCGGAGTTCCAGCAGAATTCTAGAGCTAAAGTGTGAGTAGAATTCAGCAGTAAATTCAGGCCAAAATTTATCATTGGCCGACATTTAAAATACTTTTTAAGAGTGGACACACTTCTCTTTCCATCTATAATAAAGGTTAAATGTTATTAAACCAATAGCAAAGAGAACAGCATTGGCTGACTGCATATGTGTCTGAAAGCTGACAATGAGAGAGGAGGCTGCTGTACAGGTGTCCTTCACGTAATTCCACTTTATAAAACTTTACTCTGTACAATGCCAGTGTTTTCTCAAGCAGCGTTTTACTTCCCTAAGAGTATGTGTACCATTTTGTTACTTTGTTGTGTTGGCTCAGTACTTCAGGGATAGAAATATTTCTTTTGTAGATTCATATTATTTTATGAATAATTAGAAAAATACAGTGTAGGTACTAAATCTTGACTATTTTTAGTAATTGTTAGTAATGAAATTGGATATTTCACTTTAAGTATTAAATAACTATAATAACTTTTAGAATTTGAGAAGACTATAGAGTCTCTTTGGAAAAGTTTTCTTTCAAAGTATAGAAGACTTTTGTTTCCTAATCTGCCCCTTCTGGCAAGTACTCGCCTGACCTACATAAGTAGGCTTAAAGACAATGTAGTCTTTAGGCATTTGCTTTCCTGTGTCAGAGTAACAAGCATGCCTATGTTTGTTTATTAAAGAGGCAAATTCTTGCTAATAATACACCAAGGGAAATTGTTGCGAAAAGCCCCTTTAATTTCCTCAGTAAAATGCACTTCACCCCAGGGTGAGGTGACCTTAACACTTAAAACCCACCTTCAAGAGGCAGGAGTTTCAGGGCACTAATTGCTATGCTGTCTGTGGGAAAGAGGCCATGCATGACGGGGAAAGAACACATGTGAGAAAAAAGATAATTTAAAGATAAGGTATGGGATTTTAAGGAGAAAACAAAGATTCAAGTGATAGGCAAATGTCATGACAGCACTTAGTGTGAACAACGTGCCTGCAGATTTAAGTTAGTGGCGGTCCTTCTTTTGAGGCTCAGAAGATGAAGGTATAGATCTTTCCTTCTGTTTTATGCAGTAGGGTCACAACTTCAGCAGGTTCTAAGTGGCCCATGGTCATATTGCCATTCCTGTTTGTCTAACTATAGGAATTGTAGTTTTAAGAAGTGTAGTGGAAGTGGTTATTACAGTCATGTGACACACACACACACACACACACACACACAAGCACCTATGTATCCCCATGTTTGTGTGTGAGCCCATGCATATGGTTTTGCATTTTTATGTATATACATGTGGAGACAGAAGCTGACATTGAATGTTGTCAGTCTCTCTCTCCCCAGTGCTGTGATTACAAGCTGCTTGCATCTGACTTATTTATGTGGGTGTTGGGATCAAACTCAGGCCCTTTTATATTTTACTGGCTGAGCCATCTCTAGCTCTTAATTTTAATTTCTTCATGATGGCTTTTATACTTATAACCTTTAATCTTAATCTCAACCTCTCCTTTATCCCCCCCCCCCCACTACTTGGTGACAATTTAAAACACTGTATTGAATAAGAAAGGCGATTTTAGAGGAAATGCCTTCAATTTTCCCCCATTTAGCATGATATCTACTATCAATTTATTATATGAGTTATTTTGAGGTATGATTTTTCTGTTCCTTGTTTCTTTAGAGCTTTTTTCATGAAGGCATGTTGCATTTTCTCAGATGCTTTTTCTGTATCTGTTAAGATGATCCTGTGAATTTTGCCCCCTTGGTTCCATTTATATGTAGTAGTATGTTTATTAATTTGCATGTGTTACATCCTTGGAATGAAACCAACATGATCATGGTATATAGTCTCTCAGTGTATTGTTTACAAGGCTTTTATTAAGGGGTTTTACATGTATATTTATCTGGGATATACGTCTCTGGTTCTTTTTGTTATGTCTTTATATCTGTTAACAGGATAATACTGGCTTTATAGAGTAGGTTTAGAAACAGTCTTTTTTTTCCCTGTTTTATGGGATAGTGTGAATAGTATTACTCCTGGTTCTGTAAAGGTCTTGTTAAATTCTGCAGTGGTCAATGATGCGTGTTCTAAAAGGAGATGGAAGTAAGCCATGTGAAGGCCCTTCCTGGCGAGGTGCAGGGTAATGGTCTTTATGCTGCTTTCCTCTGCTGTTGTAGGGTGTGTGGATTCTAAGAGCACTTGTTCAGCAAGCCTCCCTGTCTCGCCTGCTTGGGATCTATTCATCGTCGAGTTTCTCCTAGTCTTAGAGTTTATATGTGTTTACTGTGTCTGAGCAGGGGAGGATGGAGTGGGACGTTGTGCTGTCTCATAGCTGTGTCCGACGTTTTGCTCAGCAGTAGAATATCTACCCAGATACAATAGCAGTCATGCTTCCTTCCCAGCATGACATTAAAAGGAGAAAACAAAAGAACCACAAATAGCAGTCAGTCGGGTTCAGAAAGAAATTAAAAGCATAAGTAGGCATAATGGCGCATGCCTGTAAAGCTAAGTAAATTTTACTTTGGCTTATTTAATGTGGCTGTATGTGAAAGCAATTGTTGCTTCTCAGTGTTTCCTATATCTTGTTTTCTTAGCTAATAGTTCCTAAATCTCATTTCCCTGTTCCAGTCAATAGTTGTTTGCTTAATGCCATTTCACTGTCAGATCCAAGGATAGAGTAGCCATAAAAATGCACCGTGGCTTAAATTTTACAATTGACAAACTTCTCCCATCATATGAGAATCATATTGTACATATCGTGGTAGCAGGCGAATGTGGTACTTTGGTATGTTAGTTTTATTGATTATAGTGCCTGAACCTGACACTTCTCTGCTTAATAGTCTTTAATTGTAAGTTGGGTTTCAGCTGTGGTTTAGGTAAAGCAGTTGTGTGGAGAGATTTTGTTTCATCATGGATTGTCTTGTGTTAGGTTATTCTTCTTATGTAATTATTACTGAATTTTGGTGAAAGACTCAGGCAACATATACCCATTATTTGGTACCTGTTGCTAGTTGGCTTCAAAGCCCCGAAGCCCCGAAGCCCCAAATAAATACACAGACACTTAATATTAATTATAAAACTCTTGGTGATGGCTTGGGCTTCTTATTGACTAGCTTTCTCTCAGTTATTAACTACTAATCTGTGTATTTCTTTTTTTTTAAAGATTTATTTATTTATTATGTATGAAGTGTTCTGCCTGCAGAAGAGGGCACCATATCTCATTACAGGTGGTTGTGAGCCACCATGTGGTTGCTGGGAATTGAACTCAGTACCTCTGGAAGAGCAGTCAGTGCTCTTCACCTCTGAGCCATCTCTCCAGCCCCTAATCTGTGTATTTCTACATGGCCTTATCTTACCAGAGAACACCCGACATGTCTTAGCCTCCCGGTTTCCACATGGCAACTTTTTGTCTACCTTTCCCAGAATTCTCCTCATCTCCTAATCCAGTCTATCTTCCTGCCTTATTGGCCAACAGTGTTTTATTCATCAACCAATAAGAGAAGCATATATGCAGAAGAGCATCCCCCATCAGATACCAGCAGAAGTTGTTGGTGATTTGTCATTTAGAAGCTCTCCTCTCTAAGTTTCTGAACCTTGAACTACCTCTATAGCAATTACATTAAAGTGCTTTTTTAAAAACAAAATGAAACAAAAAATGTATCTCAGTTTTCCTTGAAGACCCCCCCCCCACCCTGCCCCAGCCCAAATGGACAGGGTCTCTCTGTGTGGCTCTGGCTGTCCTGGAACTAACTCTGTAGACCCTGGCCTTGACCTCAAGGAGATCTGCCTGCCTCTGCCTCCCGAGTGCTGGGATTAAAGGCGTGTGTCATCACTGCCCAGCCATTCCTTTAAGTTTTTAATGAAGTGAATAAAAAGGAGTTTGGATTGTTAATTGCCATCAAACTTTCATGTGGCTATATTTCTGTTTTTTATTGTGTGTATGATTCCTGTTTGGGTGTCAGTGTCAAGATGTGCATATGGAGGTCAGGGACAGCTGTGTGTGGTCAGGTGAACTCAGGTCCTCAGGCTTACCTGCTGAGCCATCTCCTGTCTTCTTGATGACACCCATTGTGTCTGGCTGTTTGGCTTTCTTTGTTAGCACATATTTGATAGACTTTATACTTTCAAAATGGTCAAACTCATTTAATTATGAATAGTGTGCCATCTTGTGGAGCTTGATGCTATCAGCAATCTGATATACTCAGTAGAGTGATAGATACTGCAGTTGAGCACTTCAAGTAAAAAAAGCTCTTTTTATTTTACAAAATGTGAGAAAATTTTAGCCAAATTCTTGTGTTAACATGCCTCCCTTATTTTTAATTCATGTACAATGTGTAAATTGTGTTACTGGGAGTACGGAAGTAAGTAGATCCATGGCTTATTAGGCTCTGGTACAAAATGATGTATCCTTTGTACCAAGGAGTAATATTTATGGAGTAATGATTGATTGATGATTACTTGATGTGGTCCCTTAAATGAAATTGGCTTGAAATTTTTAAAATAGGCTACTACTAACTATGCTACCATCAATCTCTCTCATTCCCTATGGCTTCCTTTTCAGTCAGTTCTGCAGCAAGTTCAGATTCTAACCCCTCTTGCTTAAGATTGTTTATAGTTCCTTCAGTGTCTGTGGAATTAAGTTGGAACCCTAACAGTTGAACCTGGACTGTGATCTAGTCACTGTCTTTTTAGACTTCCTGTCTGCCTACTACCTTTGTGGCCTGATATCCTGTCCATTGTCTGTAATTTACTTATCATGCAGTTTAACTTCTTTGCAGGCAATGTATAATTTTAGTTTTCAATGTATCTTTACGAAAGATAAGCATACTATGTTTTAGAGGTTAGGAAACTAGTGGCTAAGGAAGTTTAGTGTTCATCCAGATGTAGTTATAGAATCAAGGTTGAGGCTGTAATATGGAGTTATGGCTTCTCAAACACTTCTCTTTTGTCATTCTGTCTCTCTGTCTTTGTTACTCATTTTACTCTGCCTAAAATGCTTCTTTTCTGTCCCATATTCTACTTTCCGGAACACAAAGTCACATTCTGACCCAGGACAGATACTGTTCTTACCACAGATCCTCAGCCACATGTGCCCCTCCCCATTAGAACACCTGTTGGGCTTTTTGCCTTCATATGGCACTTGGTCTATTCTGTGTTGTGGTGACTTATGTACCCTTTTATAGTTGTGCCTAGAATGTAAGTTCTTCAAGGACAAGGACAAGGGACTATTCTATCTATCTTTTTATTCCCTACAGTGTTTGTGAGGTCAAATCAGTGCTTAAAACTTATCAGATAGAGACTGCTGAAGAGCCAGGACAAATGCATGACTGTGTTAGCCTATATTCCTTTAAGGGGAAAAGATGGAGAGAAAGGGTTGCTGCTTGAGGAGGATTGCGTTGCCTAGGATACACAGGTGTTGCCTAGGATATACAGGCAGGTTGTCATAGGACTTGTGGGGGGGGGGGCGCTTGTGTTTCTAGTAAGCCGGCTCTCCTGCTAAGATTTCAGCTTTTCCTCTTTCGTGTGTTTCTGGTAAGCCGGCTCTCCTGCTAATATTTCAGTTTTTCCTCTTTCTTTTCCACGCCTTACTTCTCACCATAGTTCTCTCTAGATAGCTTCGTAGTTTAAGCCTTTTTGACTTTTATGGATTAATGACACTTTTTGGTATTTATTTCTATGTGATTTATCTTTGTGAGACTTAAGTGATGAGGTGATTTAATTAAAAATTTTTGTTGCATCTTTCTTATTCAGCTGCATCAAAAGAATAAGTTTCTACAACATTCATTTAGTTGTACTCTTGCTTCAGTTGGATCACAAAGCTTCCACGGACAGGAATGACAGCTTTCTTAATTCGGTTGGGATGCTTGCCCTGTGCCAGATTTTATTTTGCTCAGCTATCAATGAGGCTGTTGTGGAAATGTGGGCTTTCTCTGCTGTGAGAGTTTATGCGCACAAAGAGACCTGCTTTTCAGAAGAACACTGAGAACTCAGGGCCCAAGAGGAAGGGTTATTAAAGTTAATGAACCAGGGTAACCTTATCCAGAGAGTACCCAGAAGTACTATAAAACAAAAGGTCAATTGCTATTGCTATTTTAGTTATATGGGCCTCCCTCTACAAGTTTCAGAAATTAACAGGGTTAACTGCTGTTATAGTGAGGTCTTGGCAAATAATCTTAAGCCAGATGAAAATTCTTTATTCTTTATTCTTTTTCCAGTAAAATTATGTGTTGGGACATTACTGTATGCCATCTGGGAAACAATGTTATTTAACTAATGATAATGGATTGTTTTATACTTATGAAATAAGACAAATTTTTAGTACTTTAAAATAACTGCCATCATTTCATATTTTTACAGCGCCAAAGGGATTCCAGGTATTGGTTATCTTGGAATCTAGTACAGTAATACTGTGTCTGAGGTACTATGAACTGAAAGATAGCTGGAAGTTTTTGTTTTTCTTTTTTTTTAATGGGAATGTTCATTTTTGACAATTTGTGTAACTTAAATCTGAGGGACCTCTGAACAGAGTTTGGTTAAAAAAAAAAAAAAAAAAAAAACCACTAAGACTGAGGAAGGTAAAGTGACCTGTGCTCAATCACCCTGTATTAATTTCTTGCCACTGTTACTAGATAACTCAGATAAATAACTTAGGGGAAGAAACTATTTTGGTTCTCGGTTTTAGAGGTTTTAATCCATTGTGGTAGGGATGATGTAAAAGAATAGTTCACATAGTGGTGGCTTGGAAACAAAGAGAGGCAAGGAAGGAGGGAGGGAGAGAAGGAGGAAGGGAAGGGAGTAAGTCAGGGAACAAAGAGAAGATACTGCCTTTCAGAGCATTGCTCCAGTGACCTACATCTCGTAGCCATGCCCCCATCTTAAAGCTCCAGCCTTCTGAAGTAGTGCTTCTAGCTGTGACTGGGTGTTTAAGAGTAAGTCTGTAGGGGCAGAAGTTCAAACCCAAAGTCAGCTAAGGTTCAAGGCAAGCTCTTGAAGGAAAGCCTCTATACAAAAAAGTTAGATGTACTTCAATAAACGTTTCCAATCCAAAATGGAAGAATGGAGGTATAGAAATAAAATCGTAGCTTGTTTCCAGGATCCGGGGTATGTGACGGTATGATGTGAGAAAGAGATAGGCTTTGTAGAAACAACATTGAAAGCCCAGCTCTAAGAGGGATTTTTTCCCATCACTGGATGGTTCCAGCTCGCATGGCCTCTCTTTAAGGCTGGCTTTTCTTGTTGGTCTGCGGCATTCTCCAGTATACATTCTCTGTTCCTGAAATCTTTTAACTTCCTGGGTTCATTTGTGTCCCACAGCTTCATGCATTTCCCTCTCAGGAACTCTGTACATACTGTCTCACTTCACTTCTCAGCCTAACTTTGAAATCTGAGTAGAAACCTCTGTTTCTGTGACTCTAGCATTCTATATGTCTGCAAAAGCAACAGCAGGTAAACTTCACCTAAGTCTGCTGCTAGCATAAGTGGGCTCAGTTCCTGGGTAGCTTAGCATAGTTAAATAATCTTTGGAAAATAACTTCATGTAAGGTCAGAGTGCCTTAGAGGTACTAATTGCTCAATGTAAAGTCTTCTAATTTGTTTTCTCTTTGCAGTGGGGTGGTCATCTGGCCAATTCCTGAGATGCTTCCATGTCATATTTCCTGTTATCTTATTGGGAAAAAACAAACAAACAAACAAAAAACTGCTTCTTTTGTAATGGCTGTAAGCATTTCAGAAACCATGTCTTCCTTAGTTTCAAATGTGTATAAAGTTTTTTCTAAACAAACCAAGTTTTTCAAATCTTTCTGTCTGCCTTTTGCTCTCGATTTCACTGTAAACTTGGCTAAAGGCAGCTAGCAGTGGTGATGGTCGTCTGACCTTCTGAGCTTCCACTGAAATGGCCAACTAAGCTCTTCCTCTAGCATCCTAGGTTTCTTCTAGCCGGTTTCTCTGAACTTTTCTAAACTCTTTCTGCAAACCAATTCCAAAGAACCATGTGGCCTTGGTTAATCACCAGCAACATTTTTATGTTAGTCCAGGCTTTTGTCATGGTGACATAACAATTTAGGCTTACGTTTTTAAAGGACTTTTATCTGCCAGTGTAGGAAGAGGTTGGCAGAACTGCTCACACCATTGTGGCCAGGAAAGAGGAAAAGAGTGCTAGGACCACGCCTTCAAGACTAGCCTTTGGGAGGTATTTTCAAGCCATAGCATCCAGTTAGCACTAGAACTAAGTCTTCCTTTAGTGGGTTGTTCTTACTCTGAAAGCAGTAAAGCATTTGTGAATATCTTACTCAGAAATTTGCTTAAAATTTTAAGTTATATGAAAAAATGACAGAATATTGCATGACAGCCCAACATGAATGGAAAGAGGTTTCTTACAATGTATAAATATATACATATAAATATGTATAAATATAAATAACAGTATTCCCATATATCATTTTGAATTGTGTCTTTATGATCATTCACAGTTTAGATGATAACTGCTATGTGTATAGTCTTAAAACACAGGCTTCAAAGGGTCAGTGGCTTAACAGTTTGTAATCAGTTGGCATAACATATTTAGAAGGGGAAACACTTAACAAAAGGAAAGGCATTTTCTGGAGAAGGATCTATGATATAGTATATTGTATAAAGATTCACTATTCACTGAGACAGATAATTTTGTCACAGTGATAAAGTCTATAAATGCAATAGACATTTCAGAATGACAAGAGATTAATTTCTCAAAGTATTAGGTTAATCTTTGAAAAGGAAGATAATTACAATATATTTGGGGAAATATTAACTCAATTTTCCTGGGACTACCATTGTTTTCTATCAATTTACTCTTAACTGTCAGCTGGTTCTAAGCATTGCTTTGGCATTAAGAAGGCATCACCATTAATGTGACCTTTCCTCATTGTCCCCAGTAGCAGCTACTTGTCCCCATGTTATTCTTGTGCATCGTGTATTCCTGTACATTTTTAGTTTTTACAGTTTTGAGTAATTCTGTCAGCCTTTAGTGGCTAAAATGTGGCTACATTGTTAAGAAGTTTTTAGCCACTGAAGAACTTTGGAATCAGAATCTTGGGGGACATGGCCTAGTGCTCTGATTTTTAAATAAAAATAAATAAATAAATAAATAAATAAATAAATAAATAAATAAATAAAAAAATACGGTTCTATAGCAGTTTTCCTGTATACTTAGGTTTAAGAACAGCTGGAGTACATTTTTGAAAGCTACAAGTTTAAAGATAAAACTGTAAAAACTATGAAAAGTACCTTCTTAAATGTTCTTTGAAACAATTGAGTGAGTCTGGTGCCTTAACCCTTGTCCCTGTGGCTTTTTTTAATATATACCTTTTTGATTTTCATAGAGACTGTTTATTTGTTTGGTGGCTGGGATGGAACACAAGATCTTGCTGACTTCTGGGCATACAGTGTGAAGGAGAACCAGTGGACATGTATCTCTAGAGACACTGAGAAAGAGGCAAGTTCCTAGTCTTTTCATTCGTCTGCGTCACAGTAGGAGTGTGTACACAGTATACACTTCAGCATGCTTGTTTTCTTCTCTGATGTTTCCCAACAGTGGTAGTGCAAAAGAATTTTGAAGTAAGAAAATAAATTGAATTTAAGAACTTTTGCATTTGAATTTCTATCCCTAGCTCATCAATTATTGGTATATATTGCCAAGGCTATTTTGTAGTGTTAAATAGCAATAGTTTTTTTTTTTAATTTTAAACTACTTTACCTTAGAAATGTAATTGTATAATATCTTTTCATACCTCAGCACTATACTGTTGTTTCCAGCATTCATCTGGGTTTTTTTGTTTGTTTGTTTGTTTGTTTTTTGTTTTTTAACCATTGCACTGATGAGGATGGAACCTGGGCCTCAAAGTGCAGTATCACTGAGCTAGTCTAGTCTAGCCCCCACCATCTTACTTTTATTTCCTCTGAGAAACCTGCTTTTGATGTTTTAGTTCTACATTGTCTAGATTTTTTTTTAAATATATGTTTGTTTTGCCAGTGTGCATGTATGGGCATTACATGCATGTCTGGGGCCTGCAGAGATACTAAGAGGTCATTAGACCCCCAGGAACTGGGGTCATGGATGGTTGTGAGCCACCATATGAGTTCTGGGAACTGAATCCGGGAGCTGTACAAGAGCAGCCAATGCTCTTAACTGCTGAGCCCTCTCTCCAGCCCCCTGTCTCATGTTGTCCATGTTATCTCTGTTGTGACCCCTCCCTATTTCACTGTACAGTCAAGTCATGTGCTGCATAACAGTCCTTAGCCATTGATAGTTTATGTGCATACTGATGGGCTTGTAAGTTATTGTTTAGGGCTATCACAGGCAAATTTGTTTATACAGATACAGTATAGAATGTTGGCACATGATGAAATTGCCTAACAATGCATTTCTCAGAATGAATTCTCATCATCAAACTATACCTGTCAGTTTTCATAAGTGATGTTTATTTTAATTAAAATATTATCTATACATGTATTTGTGTTTGTATCTTTATGTGTATAAATGAAGCAATTCTATAATGAAAATAGCTTTGATTTATGACTTTGAATTAAATAATTATGATTATATGCAGGGAAAAGCAAATATTAGTCATCTTTCCCCCAAAATTGTTGTAGAACTTTTATTGTATTCTCCATCTAAGCTCTTTCAGACTGTAGATTGGAAGATAAACTCTAACAAAAAGAAAGCAAAAGAGAAAAGGACTTAAGTCAAGCATACTGATTTTTGTTTAGGAAGGCTGATTCAAGAGATCTGGTGGTGTGCCTTCAAAACTGAGTTCTTTCTTACTCTGTCTGCTCCAAGGATTAATCATTTGGTTAATGCTTACTTTTCCATAAGACCTTGAAATTCTGATTTCTTTTTCTAATCCCAGCTACATAAAAATGGTCTTCCATTTTCAGTGTTAAAAGTATCATTTTTTTGAAATGGTTATTTCTGTCCTCAACAAAAACAAACATATATCTAAAATAACTTAATTTGTTTATTCTCAGCTATTTTGTATTGAGTTAATTACGTCTGTAACTATTCTTCTAGTAAGAATAGGGTTCATCTTAAAATCTTCCCTATTCATTGTGTCGTATTTATGCCAAAGGTCCATTGATGTCAGTACTGTATTTCAAGTGTCCTTTCATCTCTATTTCTTTTTTTTTTTCCATCTTTTTATTTGTCTCTATTCCTTTTGATGCTACTTTTTCTCGGTCTGTCTCCTTCCCTCCATACTCCCTACCCTACCCAACTTAGAAAATTGCCTAGACTGGCCTTGATGTGTGATACTTCTTCATCTTCCTGCAATTACAGAAATGCAGGACCATCTTAGGAGTTGCCTTAAGTTTGAGTCTACATAGGGAAGTTCCAAGTTAACCTGTGCCATACACCTAGAATGAATCGTAATCTTTTAGAAACATTTATCTTTGATCCCTGTTACTGTTAACATTAGTCATTCCTAGGGATTGAATGGTATATAGTAGTAAGCATTTATTTTTTTGTGAGGCAGTCGGTTGGCTGGGTCATTCTCTTGGTGTGAACACTCATATGGGAGACAGCTGTTCGCTGGTTTAAGGTTGCTTCAGCTGAGACCACATGGCTGTGTTTCATTTAATGTTTGCCCGTCTATAGGCTAACCAGGACTTGTTCTTAGGGCAAAGGCAGGTGTTGTGGGATATTTGCACACAGTGTGAAGATATATTGCTGTGATTGGTTTAATGAAAAGTTGAATGGCCAATAGCTAGGCAGGAAGTATAGATGGGATTCCAGGCAGAGAGAGAGGAAGTAGAAGATGAATCAAGGATGCTGTTGAGACTCAGAACAAGTGGGACACACAAAATGGGAGAGAGGAAAAAACATGTGGTAAAACATAGATTAACAAAAAGATGGGTAATTTAAGTTATAAGAGCTAATGGGACAAACTTAAGCTAAGGCTGAGCTTTCTTCTTTTTTTTTTCTATTTTTTATTTAAATTAGAAACAAATTTGTTTTACATATCAGTCCCAGTTCCCTCTCCTTCCCCTGTCTTCCATTAGCCCTCTATCCCATCCCTTTCCTGCTTCCCCAGGGAGGGTGAGGCCTTCCACAGGGGACCTTCAAAGTCTGTCAACATTTGGAGCAGGGCCTAGGCCCTCCCCCGTGTGACTAGGCTGAGAGAGTATCCCTCTATGTGGAGTGGGCTCCCAAAGTCCATTCGTATACTAGGGATAAATACTGATCCACTACCAGAGGCCCCGTAGTCCCTGAGGCCTCCTAACTGACATCTACATTTAGGGGGTCTGGATCAGTCCTATACTGGTTTCCCAGCTATCAATCTGGGGTCTATGAGCTCCCCCTTGTTCAGGTCAGCTGTTTCTGTGGTTCTCACCAGCCTGGTCTTGACCCCTTTGTTCATCACTCCTCCCTCTCTGCAACTGGATTCCAGGAGTTCAGTTCAGTGTTTAGCTGTTGGTATCTGCTTCTGCTTCCATCAGCTACTAGATGAAGGCTCTAGGATGGCATATAAGGTAGTCATCAATCTCATTATCGGGGAAGGGCATTTAAGGTAGCCTCTCCATTATTGCTTAGATTGTTAGTTGGGGTCATCCTTGTAGATGTCTGGACATTTCCCTAGTGCCAGATTTCTCTTTAAACCTATAATGGCTCCCTCTATTATGGTATCTCTTATCTTGCTCTCCTCTATTCTTCCCCACTCAATCTTCCTGTTCCCTCATGTCCTCCTCTCCCCTTCTCTTTCTCCTAGCTCCCTCCTCCGTCCCCCCCCCCATGCTCCCAATTAGCTCAGGAGATCTTGTCCCTTTCCCCTTCTCCAGGGGAACCTCTTAGGGTTCTCCTTGTTTCTTAGCTTCTCTGGCAATGTGGATTGTAGGCTGGTAATCCTTTGCTCTGTCTAAAATCTATCTATATATGAGTGAGTACATGCCATGTTTGTCTTTTTGTGACTGGGTTACCTCACTCAGGATGGTTTCTTCTAGTTCCATCCATTTGCCTGCGAATTTCAAGATTTCATTGTTTTTTCCTATGAGTTGTACTCCATTGTGTAAATATACCACATTTTCTCTATCCATGAGCTTTCATAATTAGCAGTAAGCCTCTGTGTCGTTATTTGTGAACTGGAGGCCCAAAGGAAAGTCTGACTACAGGCAGGTCTGCCAGGGGATGAAATAGCCATGAATAATCCGCCAAGTTTTTGTCTTATTTGTCAAAAGGAGTCAGTTCAAAGTCCATGTATTCATACAAAAAAGGGGGGGCAGAACAATAATAAAATAATGTCTCTAACCTAATCTCTTTAATTTAGTGAAAGCTTCCAGTTCTCCTGCAGGTTTGGCCCTCACCAGCTTACCAGCCATGTGCCCTGTCTTACCTGCGCACTGAGCATTTCCACAGTTCTGCAGGGTCCTTGCTTGTCTCTTTTGCCAGGGTTTCCCCTGTGTTTTCAGTTAGATCTCCCATGTCCAGCTTCAGCCTGTATGTTCTTTAATGCTCCATTTAGACTTCCCGTGTTCCATATAGCCTTTCTTGAAGCTCTCTAAACAGAATGTAAACTTCCTTTGGTGCGCCCACCTTCACTTCACTGGTTTGTGTTCTTGTTTTCCCACCTAGAGTCTGAATTCCTGATAGGAATGAAGCCTATTATTTAGAATTTATGTGTTTTAAAGAAGTAGTCGACATGCTTACTCTTTTATAAGTAGTCAGATAAATTAAATGAAAAGCTGGTGTTGGAGTAAAGCAAAGGAATGATAAATACAAAATTCAGGAGAGTGGTGTCTGGGTGTGAGGCTTTATTGGTAGTACATATATTTTGTATATTTGAGACATGATCTCACTAGGTAGGGCAGACTGGCCTCAAATTCAAGGCTAAGCTTGCTTGCTTTTCCTCCTCCTAGCTTTACATATTCTGTGCTGGTAGTACAGACATGTGTCAGTGTGCCCAGCTCATTATTTTTTTATACTGTATGTATACATTGTAATATGAAAAATGAAGTTAAAAATCACTGATTATTTTGAAGAGAACATTTTCTGTTACTTTGAAGGTAATTAAATGTTTCAGTTGGAACTCAGGTTTATTATAGCTTGTTACTCCATCACATGGATGCCTGTGGTGATTTGAATACAAATGGCCTCCATATGTTAATATATTTGAATGCTTAGTCATCAGGGTGTAGCACTGTTTGAGAAGGATTAGGAGGTGTGGCCTTGTTGAAGGAAGTATGTCACTGGCGGTGGGCTTTGAGGTTCCAAAAGCCCACGCCATGCCCAGAGTCTGTCTCCTCCCTCTCTCTTTCTCTGTCTCTCCCTTTCTTTCTGCCTGTGGGCCAGAATGTAGCTCTCAGCTACCTCTCCAGCACCTGTCTGAATGCTGCCATGCTCCACAGCAGTGGAACAGTGCCTAAGACAACACCTGAAAGTCTTTAGTTGGTCTGTCTGAAAACTGAATGGTAATGTTGCCCTAGCTTAAACAGGCATTGTTTCTAACATTCTGCAGTTACTATTTTGCATACCTAATTTTTTGTACCAGTGAGTATAGGTTATAGGTTACTGTTGGTGGTGTCTCAGAATGTGCATTTAAAATCATGGTAGACAATCAAAAAGCAAAGTTGATTTAAACATGTGTCTAGTAAAACACTTAGAGATCAAAAGCTCATAGAAAGACTGAGCTCTTAAGGAGAAAATAATTGTTTATATAGCTAGGCAAGTACGTTTTTATTGTTTTCAGTTGTTGTGAATCATTATACTATTTGGATATTTTGTTGTTGTTTTCTGAGACAGGGTCCAACTAATGTAGCTGTGGCTGTCCTAGAATTCACTATGTAGACCAGTCTGGCCTCAAACTCACAGAAGTCCTCTTGCATTTGCTTCCTGAGTGCTGGAATTAAAAGCGTGTGCCATTATTTCCCACAGAGTAAGCATACTTTGACTAGTTGTAATTGTTCTCCCACTGTAGTCCATGAGAAAAATCTCTGTATGAACTTGGAACTCCAAAAACTACACAAACGCTTTTTGAGACATCCATTCTACACAAAATGACCTCGCTTTATACTTTTAAAGTCTCTAATATTTGATGTAATAGAAGGTAGTAGAAATAGTTGAATTGACTGCTTGAAGAAGAGTCTGCTTCAGACTTTTAGTGTACCAACCAGAAAGTCATGTAGCCTCTGGGAACTTTTGCCCGTGTTCATAGAGAATGAAGCGACAAATATTTAAGCATTTTCATGAAAAGATCTTTGACTGCCTGAAGCACCTCAGAGAGAGGAATTCATTTGTATTATGCTATTTTACTAAATCCACTTACGATAATTAAGTGGGTATGAGTGACTAAAGACCTCATTTACTCTTTCTCTTCTTTTCCTCATAACTTCTGTTGTTTTCTAATGTCTTTCCCATATCACCAAGTTGACCTTGCAGAGCACTGTTAAGTGGAGGTAGTGAGGATATACATCCTTGACTTCAGATCTTGTAAAACATTTATGTGTTACTACCTAGTGAAAGCTGGGCTTCATGTTATCTTCATCCTTTATCAGATTGGAACATTTTCTTTCTATTCCTGTTTTGCTGGGTTTTGTTTTTTGTTTTGTTTTGTTTTTTAACCATGAGCATGTATGAACTATGTCAAAAATTCCTTCTGTAGCCAGGTGTTAGTAGCTCATGCCTTTAATTAATCCCAACACTTGGGAGGCAGAGGCAGGTGGATCTCTGTGAGTTTGAGGCCAGCCTGGTCTACAGAGTGAGTTCCAGGACAGGCTCCAAAGCCACACAGAGAAACCCTGTCTCGAAAAAACGAAAACAAAACAAAAAAAATCCTTCTGTATTGGTGTTAGATGTGGAATAGAACAAAGTTCAAAATAGAGTTTTCCTTCATATTTTCTGAATTTTTTGTCTAAAATTAATAATCGTTTCTTGTATGAATAGGAAGGTTTTGAATGATAAATTCACTTTCTAGATGGAAGGACTTTCCATTTTTACCTCGTGTCTCATGACATTTGGTAGGTTATATTTTCTCAAGGACTTTGCATATTTCATTTGTCAAATTTTACCTACACTTTTAACTATTGTCAAATACTTGATTATTTTCCTTTTAATTCCTGTTATTCTTCAATGATATCCCTGAATTTATATCAGATGTTGGTAAACATCTTTACCAACATCAGAAAACAAGTTTCTCTTGCTTTATAAAAAAAAACTAAAATTTTCTGGTTCTTGTTTTCTATTTTAATTTCTATTATCTTCATTTTTAATTTTTGTTCTCCCTGGGGTATAGCTTTCTTTCCTTTTTAATGGTATTAGTGCTACTTTGATTGAAGCAATCGGTTCTGTCTCATTTAAAAATTAAAATTTTATATTAATAGAAATAAGGCATGGGCTTACTTAATCATGGGGAATTCTTCCCCTAAATAATATTTCTATCTTATCTATGAGATCTTAGCAAAAAATATCCTAAGGCATATTAGAATAATTGGTATGAATATGAAAAAGCAGAGATTGCACTCAGTTTATTTTCTCAATTACTGTTACTAGTGTCAACCCTTTCTCCTGTGTAATATTCCCACACTTAATCAAGTTATTTACATTATATTACTCCTCGTATAATAATGCTATTTTGTGTTCTGTCTTGTTCCAGGAACTTACAGTGGTTTTTTTATTTCCTGCAGATCACACCCAGTCTTCTGGTAGTCATTCAGCAAGCTTCCTATTTCTCATCATCTCAGTCATGAGCATATAAAGTTTATTAGCAGTTAGATTTTGCTCATTTCTCTCTTCTGAGAAAAAAAATAATTCCTATCAAGGTGAAAAGAGCAGGGTTTTATAGTGTTTTTAAATCTGGTTACAGTGGGCTTAGATATTGTTGTCACTTCCTAGAGTTCTGATTCTAGACAAGTAGTTTAGACTGTAAAATAGTGATAATGAGTTCCTTACAGGGTTTTTGTAAGGATTTAGTGAAACACATCTATCCACAGTAATAATATAAACAGAATTTAGCAAGTGTGAAGGTTGGTTTTTGTCAACTTGACACAAACCTAGACATCTGGGAAGAGGGAATCTTAATTGAGAAAATGTTCTGGCAAGTTTTATGTCAGAAACAAGCTAGAGTCATTTGGTGAATGACAGTCAAAGCAAGGCCACTGGTGTTGACCTCAGGCCTACATACATGTGCACACATCTTATACATACATAAGACCATACATGCATATTACTTAAATGTCTTTTTTTGTTCACAGTTCTTTTAAAAATCCAATATGCCTTAAACTAGATTTTTGATAGGGAATTGAACTGTGTTCAAAGCAAATAAAACACAGTGTGACATATGATACAATGGATGTTAAAACAAGTGCCAGAGAGTATAAAATAGGTCATACCTTTTTCCTGGTAGATTAAAAACATTTCTAGTTTACGTCTCCTACTGCTTCTGTGTTGGGAGCCAAAGATCTCAGGGCTGGGCATGAGATCCTAGGCCATGCTTGGCAGGCCACATAGTTAACCTTTACATAGCAGCTCCTTAGAACCTCAGCTCAAGAAAAGAAACAACCTGACCCAGTCCTCCACCCACAGGCTCAGTCACCTAGGCAACCCTTCCTGGACCTCTTACTCATAAACTCTTTACCCTGCCAAACATCCTTTTTGTGGCTTCCTAATATCCTGCCTATACCAACACCTGGTGCACAAACAACCCATTCTGCCCCTCCCCATACTCCCCATATCCTGCTCAGACGACTATATAAGCTAGCCTGAGAAAAGTAAAGTTGATCAGAATCCTGTCTTGTGGTCGTACTTTCTGTGTCGCTTGTCCCCATTCCCTATCCCTGACTCTCTTGCCCCAGGTTGACATCCTGCAGGTTGGGACACTTCTGCTTTTTTTTTTTTTCTTTTCTTTTCTTTGCTTTTCTTTTCTTTTTTTGGTTTTTTGAGACAGGGTTTCTTTGGAGGCTGTCCTGAAACTAGCTCTTGTAGACCAGGCTGGTCTCTAACTTACAGAGAACCGCCTGCCTCTGCCTCCCAAGTGCTGGGATTAAAGGCGTGTGCCACCACCGCCTGGTTTCCTACTGCTTCTTTTGCTTTCCTTTAGAGATTATTAGTCTAGTGTTAGACCCACATTAGTTGACTTGTTAGGAGTTTTAATGAAATAGAAGAATTTCTTCTCTTTGCTTTTAGACACCCCCATTTATCTTTCCACCCTTCTTTCTCCAGAATGGTCCTAGTGCCAGATCGTGTCATAAAATGTGCATTGACATTCAACGGAGGCAAATCTACACATTGGGCCGTTACTTGGATTCCTCTGTGAGGAACAGCAAATCTCTGAAAAGTGACTTCTACCGTTATGACATTGACACCAATACCTGGATGTTACTGAGTGAAGACACTGCTGCTGATGGTGGACCAAAACTGGTGTTTGATCATCAGGTTTGATGCAGTTAAATGATAGTAGAATTAACTAGTGTCTACTTTAGATGTTTATATGGTGTTGTCTGATGACAATGTTGGTAGGTAATAAAGATAATTATTTTAGGAAGTGCAAGGTTATTCTTACTTTTTTATTGTTTGGTATAGGATAAAATATTAAGCTGTTAATCTTAATATTTACATAATTGTTAATCTATTTAAAACTTTAG